CGCCGAACATGACGTTCTAAATAGATGATGCTCTGTTGTTGAAAAACAGGTTGACAATGAACTCTAAGGGCGAAGCGAAATCGTGTTTTTAAGATTTCATGTTTTATAACATGTAACATCGACAACAACATCATCATCAACAACAACAATACCATCAACAAAAACAACAACATCAACAACAACATCATCAACAACATCAACAAAAACAAAAATAACAACATCATTGTCAACAACAACATCAACAACAACATCATTGTCAACAACAACAACATCAACAACAACAAAGAAAGAGAAACCAATAGAATAAAGAGCCTCATAAATAAAGAAGAGAGCACCAACACTTTAAAAAAGCAACAAAAATATTTAGGACAACTACTTTTCAACATATTAAGAACAATCAAACTAAACATCAACAAAAACATAAACATAAACAACACTATAAACAACAACTTAAACAACAACAACATGCATGAACAACAACAACAACAAAACAACAGCAACGTAAGCAATAAATCAACGTAATCAAATATAAATAGCAACAACAACAACAACAACAACATCAGCATCAACCTGCACTATAGCATTAGTGACAATTTCAACAACACCAACAACAATCCCACCATCCACAAAACATGTATGAACAACGTATTAAACAACTACATAAGCATTTCAAACAGCTGAACAAACAGCCGGCAAACCAACACAACGCGAAAGATGCACGAACAACAATTAACAGAACAACAACGGCGTCAACATCCACAACAACATAAACATCAATTAGCTAAATAACAACAACAACCACAACAACAACAACAACTATGGTGGTGTTGAGCGTCTTGAAATATGCGCAAATTGTGCTACTACTGAAATTGCCAGGACGTGACAACCACGGTAATGACGTCATATCCGCTAACAAAATGGCCGCCATAAAATTCAAGATGGCCGCCGCCTCATAAAATGGCGTCTCCACGATTGATTGACGTTGAAAAAATATGTTTACGACGATGCGGGGGCGAAAGAAGAAGAAGAGGAAGAAGTGGAAGGAAGGAAGGAAGGAAGATGAAGGAAGAATAAAGGGCAGAAGAAGAACCAGAGGAAGATTAGCGGACGGTGAAGAACAAGAAACAGTGGAGAACGTAAAAGAGAAAGATAAAAAGAAGAGGAGGAGGAGGAGGAGGATGCTGGAGGTGAGTTTGGTGCAGACGTGACACTGCACTGATTTGAGGTGTGTGTGTGTGTGTGTGTGTCAGCGTATGTGTGTGTGTGTGTGTGTCAGCGTATGTGTGGTAGTCGTTGTAGGTGGCAATGTTGTGGTTGCGGTAGTTGTGTGGTGGTGGTTGGTGAAATAAGTTTAGACGAACCATAGTTTTAAAATTATGACAAATAATTGTGCTCTCAGAAACGCGCAAACAAAAATTTAAAAAATGAATGCTAATAATGATGATAAAAATATATTTATTAATGGTGCATGCACGTGAAGCTGCTCAGTGCTCATATGGGGCCGTAAGCATGTAAATGTACAATGCATGTCGGAGAACAGGAGGGGAATAACAAAATATTATTAGCAACCATAATAGTATTATTATTTATCATTATTATTATTATTGTTATTATTGGTGGCTGTAGTTGCAGCAATATTAGCAACATCAGCCATAGTAGTAGCAGTAGTAGTAGCAGTAGTAGTAGTAGTAGTAGTAGTAGTAGTAGTAGTAGTAGTAGTAGTAGTAGTAGTAGTAGTAGTAGTTGTAGTAGTTTGTAGCAGTAGTAGTAAGTAGTAGTAGTAGTAGTAGTAGTAGAGGTAGTAGTAGTAGTAGTAGTAGTAGTAGTAGGGAGATTGACAGGCGTGTCAATGTAGGTTTTGTGTAGATAATGCTAAGATGATGACGATAATGATGATGATGTGCATGACGACGACGATGATGATGATGGTGATGATGATGATTAAACCATTGTTGATGATGATTGGGCTTATATTATACATTATATATTTTATCATAGATATGATGAAGATTATGTTGATGATGAAGATGAAGTAATATATCAGATGATGAGGTTTATGGAGATGGTGATAAGGTTAATGAAGATGATGATAATGATTTTGATAATAATAATAATGATGATGCTGATGATGATGATAATGATGATGATGATGGAAAAGTTTTGATAGTGATTTTGATATTTTGAGTTCATACATCAAACAGATAAATCCTCGTTCATCATTTATTCATCACAAAAACATACACTCTACCGTACACACACACAAACACACACGCACACGGACGCAGTCATACATACATAATACCTAGATATATACATGCATGCATGCATACACACATAGATTTTTGTTCATTCAGTCATTTGTGGTTCATTCACTCATACATCCATCCATCCCACTTGGTTTGTTTCTTTTTCCTTCATTGCTTGGTTGTCATTTAATACATATGGCACCTGCACTATAACATTGTTCGTCTGTTTTAACTACTACAGAACCACTCAAGACGGAAAATTGTTGGCACGGGGCTAATGTCAAAAAGCAGAAATTTTCGGGCTCGAGAAAAAAAGTTGATTTATCAGGAGCGGGGACAATTTCACCCCTTGCTGCCGCACCCGACCCCGAGCCTAAGATGTCTACACGTTTGAGAAACGCATCGGTCTCCAGTGATCTCCCTAGTTTCGATTACTCCAACGTTTTTGACAAACTTACTGCTGTTTTCAAATGTGAACCGTTGTACGATCACATTCCTAAGATTTGGAGGGAAAAGTTCTCAAAAAATTAAGCCTTTTTTGACGGCTGTTTGTAATGATCGTGGTGACTCAGCTCAGTGGGATAGGCTCCACCGGTTTTTTTATATGACCTACTAAAGACTTTCAAAGGGGTCAAACAGAGCAACCTGGTCAACAAATGTCTCAGCGAATATTCAGCTATGGGTCTTGAAACCCTGTTAACGTGCTCAATAGTTACAATAATACAAAACCACAAAAGCGCATTCCCGATTGCTGGATTAACGCCGTATTACAGTGTATCAAACAGGGTAACTTCACTGCAGCCGTCAGACCTGACTGATTGCCTGGGAGCTTAGCGGAGAGCTCGCCTGCCATTTATAATAAAATGTGTTCTATCCATCCAAAAATATTAACGGTTGGTAGCGTTTCCCGCTGAGATGCTAAAGGCCGTTTTCAACACCTCGAAAATATTTTTTCTGGTTTTTTTCCAATTGACAAAATATTACCCAATTTATTATTCTGATCCTATCTGAAGTCTGCCCATTTTCTGTTTGCCGGTTCTTTTTTGGAGACCGGCTAATAGCTTTGAATAAATAGGACGGAAGAGTCAGACCGATTGTAGTCGAAAATGTTTGGCGGCGGTTGGCTAGCAAATGTGCTCTAGCCCTGTTCACAGTTGAACTCAAGACCAAACTTTATTTATTCAACTGGATGTTGTGATTAAGGGTGATGCTAAGATCGTTGTTTATGCGTTTCAAAGGTTAGT